CAGAGCCTTTGGAGATACTATACACTAAGGAGATTCTGCCAAATCCATAAAAAGAGTAAAGCCCAACCGATGTCCAATTTCCCTCAGGTCAAACCAGTGGATTTGCTTTTTTGAAGTATCAAATCAAGTTCTAGCCACAAACTGGGTTTATAGTGACCCTGCTTTGCAGGGTAAGGGCTTAGTCTGTCTTGGCAATACAGCACCAATTAGAGACAGCTGATAAACGTGGCCCTTTAGTATCAAGGGAGCGGCTAGTGTGGCAGAACCTGGCACTCATCTCAGAGGAGGAGAGGCAGGAGGGGGTAAGGCAGCAGGTCTCTGAGTGTCACCTGGATATCTGAAGACACCGGCTAGATGATGCATGCAACCAGCCACACACAGTCCCAAGAGAAGAGGGAAAACAAGTGGGAGAACGCTTGTCATGCCGCCAGATAGGAGCTGCCTTCTGCCCATCAAAGCTGCTCACTGACAAGACAAGGGATGGAGAGACTTAACAGATGAACACCAAATCCGACGTAAGGGCACGCTGCCAAGTCTGGCCCCTTGAAGAGTGGAGCAGGTGCAGAATCTAAAACCAGTGCGGACTCATGCTCTGGTGTGGAGCAGGGTCAGAGGAGGGGGCACGGGGTGACCTGGATCCTGAAACTCAAACGGGTGTTGTGTAGGTGCCAGGGCCTGTTTCACTCCAGCTTTTTGGCTGGCACCCGTGTCCGAGCAATGATGATGGGCACCAGGGCCAGACAGGCGATGAAGAGGGCCCACAGGGGCCGGTAGAAGAGCCAGCCAGCAGCCACGGTCAGCAGGGTCAGTGAGGTGGCCACACAGAAGGCAAAGGCCTTCAGGCCAATGTTGACCAAGTCTCGGAAGACAGGAAACCAGTCCACTGTGGGGAAAAGAAAGGCAGTGAGGCTTCCGAGGACGCCATGTTCTACGTCTCAAAGTCAGCAGATGGTTCCTGTCTCTAGACAAGGATGAGCCCCTGATGCCAGGTGAGTAAGGGGAGGAGAGGGTCATTGGTGGAAGGCAAATAACCTAGTGAGGGCTGAAAGATCCAAAAGAGGAGACCTCACTCCTGAGCTGCGTGGGCACACTGACTGACCACCCACTGCACACTGCTCCAGGGAGAAGCATGTACAAGTGCTTTGTGAACTTTAAACTGCATGTTGAAATGAATATAGAGACATTTGGCCATAGGTAGTATGCTCAGTGGTTAGAGTATCTGCGTGGCACCCCCCCCCACCACCACCACCACCACCACCACACACACACACACACACCAAAGGATAACAAGTTTGATTCCTGGTCAAGGGATGTACCTGGTTGCAGGTTCAATCCCCGGCCCCCATGGACACATGCGGGAGGCAAACAGTCGATGTATCTTTTTCACAACAATGTTTCTCCCTCGTTCTCATCCCCTACCCCCCACTTCCACTCTCTAAAAATCAATGGAAAAAATTATCTTTGGGTGAGATTAATAACAAAAAGACATTCGACTGTAACAGTGGCAAATACCATTTGCTGTGCACCCACAACGGAGACAGCAGACCTTTCTGTGGGTGCCTATTTGGGGCCCTCGGCCACTCGTGGAGGTATTTGTTCATTCAGGCAGCAGGTTGTTAACAATTATCTACATGTCCAGCTCTGCATGGACTGAGGGAAATAAATTAGCCTCAGCTGGCTCCTGCCTCACGGCTCTCACAGGCCCAGTATGAAGTCTAGGATCCAGCTAAATCCATCTGGAACTACCCTGTCCCTGGCCAGTCTAGCATCCCATGGCTGCTAACCACTGGGGGAATCCACTCAGTTCCCAGGAGGCCCCAGTGGTCTGGTGCCACTGGGTTTGCAGAGGAAGCCCTGGTGCCCTGCCTTGACTACAGGATCCTGCAGGCCACCTCACGGCTCATCTGTCTACTCTCAGCACCCCTATTTGGCCCTCGTAAGAAGCAGAGTTCACGTTTATACTGTTGACCCTGTGTCAGACACTACCTGTATCATCTCATCTAACCCACAGGCCTAACCCTTGTAAGGCTGGTATTATATTTGTGTTGTTTTTTAATCCTCATCCAAGGATATGCTTTTTATTGATTTGAGAGAAACATGAAAGTGAGAAACATGGATCAGTTGCCTCCCATACGTGCCCCAACCAGGGATCAAACCTGTAACCGAGGTTATATGTCCTGACTAGGAATCAAACCCCCAACCTTTGGGTGTGCGGGACAATATTCCAACCACTGAGCCACCCAGCCAATGGAAGGCTGGTGCTATTCTTCACCTCATTTTACCCACAAGGTCATGAGGCCCAGGGAGTTTAACTTGCCCTAAGTCTTACAGCTAGAAAGCGCCAGAGCCAGGACTTAAACTCAAAACTGACTGAGCCCAGAGCCTTAGCTCTAAGCCATGGCTCTGAGCCTTGAAAGGACAGGGACTTTGTCCTGTTCATTGTGTGGTCTCCTGGGCTCAGAGCAATGCCTTGCATACTCCAGGCGCTCAGTAAATTCTTAATGAACGATTTTGTGTTGCAGGCTCCTGAATCACTCCCCCTGCACTTTGGATGTCTCCATTCTCTGAAGTCTGTTCTGAATCTGGAATGTCAGCATTTCAGATACGGAGAGAATCAGAGGAGCACAGGCAGGCAGAGATTCAAAGAAGGGCCCTCTGAAATAGACTCCAACCTTCTCATCTTGATGATGGGGCAGCAGAGTCTCTGAGAGGAAAAATGACCTGTCCAGGTCACCCAACCACAGTGGGCTTAGTGCAGAGGAAAAAGATGGAGGGTTCTAGTCAAATGCAGATCTCTCCTGAATGGAGCTCAGAAGTTGCCCAAGTGACCCAGCCTGGTTCAGGGCTGAGTGCCTTTCTGAGCACAAATCATCTATCCAAAGAAAACCCTGGAGAAGTGTCCTTCCCCTCCCTGCACCTCAGTTTTCCCATCTGCAAAATGAGGCAGGTGGCCCTCCCTGCTCTGATAGTCTGGGGTATATGCAGCCAGATCTCTCCCAAACTGGAATGGGTAAGTGGGGGAAAGGTTTCTGTTGGGGCTCAGAGAAGGCTGAATCATCTGACTGGACAGGGACACACTGGGGTAAAGGCTCATGGAAAGTCCTCTGAGTCCCCTCCTCCCATTCCTCTGATTGCAACAGTCTAGACCTGCCCTTACTCAATCAGCTGGGCACTCAGTCCTGAACCAGGCTGCGTCACTTGGGCTACTGGGCTCACGGGTGCCAACCTCAGGCTATGGGAGCCGCCCAGCAAACTCTCCCTTGTGCCCCAGAATTGCTGGCTATCCCAAATCTAGCCCAGAAGTATAACAATTTTTTAGTGTTTCCTATTTGCCAAATATTTCATAAAACTACAAATGAGGTGTGAGACAATTGCAGCTAGCATGGGAAAGAGGATGGCCCCAGGTCCAGGGCTCGGACATAAGATTTCAAGTCCGGCTCACTGCAAAGGCTGGCCCTTCATCCCAAAGCTATGGAGTAGGTACTCAGAGATGGGCCAAATGCCGGCTCCCTGCCCAAGTTGCATACCATCGGGCCAGAAAAGCTGACAGATGGTGTGAGAAGCATGGAGCAAGCACAGGGGGCTACAGGAGGGCAAGCAAGTTTCCCATCCCAGTCTCCCCACCTACCCAGGGTATAGAGGATCCGTGTCATGAGGTTAAGGCCCATAAACATGGCCATCCAACCAGCAGCCCGCAGGCCCCATGTCTTCATGGAGTTGCTCTTTTGTTCTCTAAGAAACACCTCCTGTAGGACAAAGCAGGGCAGGTGGCTGAGGGGGACATAACAAAGCAGGAGACATTGGCCATTTCTGAACAGATCAGAGGGAGGTAAGGGCGCATCTCCCTGCCAGGTCTAAGTGCCTCCCCAACCTAGCAGTCTGCCAGGCCATTCTTTCCCTTACCATCCTCTAAATGCTGAGATTCTCTGACTGCTTCAGTCTACAGTCTCCCAGGAAGGTGCCTTTCTGGGCCTCACCCCCTGGCTCCCACCGCCTATGTGACATCTCCACTGCATATCTTGGCACATCTGACACTGACTCTGGAGTTTCCACCCCAACCTGTTCTCTGTCGTCCCCACCTCAGCAAATGGTACCACCCACCCACCTGCATCAGCCAAAACCTGGGCGTCAAACTTGGCTTGTTCCTCCCCTCACCATCTCTCATCCTGGCCATCAGCAAGTCCTATCAACACGGGGTCCCCATTTCCTCAAATCCTCTCTCACCACCGTCAACCCCTCTCACCAGGGCCCCTTCAGTAGCCTCCTCCCCACGGGCCTCCCTGCTTCTGCCACCACCGCCACCTTCTCCATGCAGCCAGCTGCGCCTCAGCCCCATTGGGGCACAGGTCAGACCTCCCCTGCCTTGGGGCCTTTCACATGCGGTTGCTCTGCTGAGAGCATGTTTGCCCAGTTATGCCTGACCAGCTCCTACACGTTCTTCTAGTCTTGGCTGAAATGCCATCTCTTCAGAGGGCCTACCTAGACATTATCTATAACAATAATATGATAGCTAACTGATAGCGAATACTTACTGCTTACTATTTATCAGTCACTGTCCTAAGTGCTTTACAAGTATTACTTAATCCTCAAAATAACTTGAGGAGGAGGCACACTTATCTCCATTTTACAGAAGAGGAAGCTGAGGCTCTGAGAGGGTAAGTGACATGCCCAGGGTCTCACCCCAGCAGGTAACTAAGCTATGAGCTTGAGGGCATGTCTGTTTTATCCCTATGTCCCTGGGACTCAATAAAATGGATCATCTTCACAACAACCAAGTAAGGTAGGAATAATTGCAATAATCATTTTTTTAAAATTTCCATTTTACAGAGGGGCCAACAGGCTGAGAGGATAATCAACTGGCTCAAGGTCCTGTAGCCAGCAGAAGGCAGAGCAGGGCTTGAGATGGGGCCATCGCCAGTGCCCATGCTTGTCCACACTGCACTCTCCTGTCCCCAGGACTGACACCTGGACAGCCTGACTCCCAGGGTTTGGATTCTAAGGGCCCCAGGTTGCCTCCTTGGCTCAGGGCCTTCTCTCCCGGCTTAACAGACCCCAGACCCTGTGCTGGAGGCCCAGGGTGATCAGGAAGCTCCTGCCCATCTCCACTGTCACAGTCTTCCCTCCTGGGGAGTTATCTAAGCCATGAGCCCACCACTCCTCTGAGGGCAGCTCATACCCAGCCTTTGCCTGCAAGAGGATGGAAGCCTGGGGTCAGGGCTGACGCTCTGGGAGAGAGAGAAAGGACTGGACAGGGCTTCCTAATATTAGAAACTCCCCAGGGGGCCCTGAGAGCCGCTGGAGGAAAGGGTGACTCATGCCATGTCAGGCTGGGAGGTGGCAGCTCCACCCTGAGGTTGGTAACTGGGCTCCTAGGCTGCAGCCCAACCACACCCTAGTCCTGGTTAGAGAAGGCTGGGCTCATGCAGCTCCCCGGGGTTGGGTGCTAAAGTGAGAGGGATGACAGCTGAGGGCCTAAGCTGACACCTGCCCACTACCCTTTTCAAGACCTTCTGATGCAAAACCCAGCAATCCTAATCAAAGCAAGCACAGACTACGTACAGTGATACACTGTGTTCAACAATGGAAAAGCTGTATCTTTCTGTTAAAGAGGATTTCCTGCTTAGAGAAGAGTGGCTAACTTTTAAGGCATGCAACCGAACTACTCGGTACATCTTTGTACCCCTTCTCCTAGGGACTTAAGGGGAGGCATGACCCTCCCCCTTCCTCTATAGAGAGGAAGGGGGTGCCTGCCCTCACCTGGTGAGACTCTGCAGCTCAAATCCCTTCACTGCCACCTAATCCACCCCCTCACAGGGGCCCTGCCTGCTCAGGAGTCTTCTTCCCCTGACCACTCTCTCTGAGTGCTGGCCACACGGACACTCTTGATGTTCCCAACAAGGTGAACTCTGACCTGCCTGGACTGCTTCCAGCACTGACCCCCTCTTCACTTGGCTCTCAGCAGAAATGTTACTCAGAGAAGCTTTTCTAGACCACTGTCAAAGCAGATTCCCTATTACACCCGTTTATCTCCAAGCATCTGCCTCCCCTTCCTGATACTCAGCCCAAGGTGCCCTTACTTGTTTTACTGATGAGTCACTCTCCCCCACAATACTGGACGCCAGTGAAGGAGTCTGTTTTGCCCAGTGTTCTATCCTCCATGCCCAGCACAGTCTGGCACGCGGGAAAATGCTTACTCCTATTTCTTTCTTGCCTCGTAGCACTGGCTATGACCTCTAGTAGTAGGTGCTTATTTAATAACCTCATTAAAAGTGGCAGGGAGGGGTACACCAGTCCCTCCATCACAGCAGCAACTCACCTCGGCTGAGAAGTCCCCATGGTGCAGGAGAAGCAAGGTGTCCCCAGACTTGGTGGAATATGAGACTAGCTGGTCACCTCGCTGCCGGGCAATCACAGTGACCTGGTCAGAGAATTGAGTGTTGGAGCTGAGACAGTGACCAGCCCACCTGGCTCCAGCACCCCTCTACACTGTGTGCCTCCTAGGGGAGTGAGGAGACCGATGCCATCCCAGTTCTTAACCTGGGGTCTACGGATATCCATGGATGGCTTCAGGGCACACAGACCTCTGACACTGCTCAAAGGCATGCCTCACTGAATACGAGCACATGAGCACAGTCCCTAGGGGGAGGGTCCAAAGCCACATCCCAGCGCTGTCCACGGTGTCCATGCCCAGGGAGATCGGAAAGCCCTGCCTGAGTCTGCCCTGGAGAAGTTACATTACCACATGAGCTGGACCCAGGTCAGGGTCGTCGCTGCTCAGCCCGGCATAGGAGAAGGAAACTCGAATGTCTCCGACCTGGGGGGTGGAAGAAAGTGGGGTGAGCGAGGCCAGGAGCAGTCCGCCTGGGCCTGGGTCCATGGCACTGTCGAGCCCCTACACTCACCCTCTTTTCCCACCCCTATAGCTTTTCCCACGTGGCTCCATCACCTAGAACTCCCTCCCCTCCCATTTCATTTGACCAAGTGCAGCTGTGGATGCCACCAAACTGAATCAGTCTTAAGCGAGAACGTGACTGCTGTGTATTCCTGGGAAATGGTTCTTCAGGGACCCTGACTGTCCTATCTGAACTATCGAGTCCCTCTGTGCACCTCTGGGTATTTGGGGTTTTCACTGTGGTAGAAATAGTCTCCCCGGCGAATGATGTCCACGTGTGGGTCCTCCAGCTTGGACAGGCTCAGTGGCTTGAAGTTGTCGACTTTGTCAATGAGGCCTGAGAGAAACCAGGTGGTTAGAGACGATGGTGTGCAATTTGAAACCCCCTGATCTTAAACCCCTCAGCCTGACATCCTTCCCACCACACCCTCACACAGCCCTGCCAGCTGCCCCCTCCTGGCTCATTCTCCTCAGGGCCTTCAGCGCACGACCCCCACGCACAGAGCCTGCTCCGGCCCCCGCTCTTCCACTGCTGCCCCTTGCCAGCCCCAGTGCAGTCTCCCTCTCCTCCAGGAAGCCTTTCCTGTCCCCTCTCCGTCCAGTCAGAGTGACCACAGCTCTGAGAATGGTCTTGGCTCTGTACCCATTCCACCTGGGGTCTGGTTATCCATGTCCAAGCCTGGCTCCCATGCTGCACGGAGACCCCTGGAGGCCAGGCTGGTGGGCACTAGCTAAGCAACAGAGCAGATGGCAGGCCAAGCCCTCGATCCCAGCCTCTCCTCCCTCACCTTGGTTATTTGGGTCCTCAGTGTCTTCTCTCCCACCTTCCTGGGTCAAGCTCAGGGACAGAGCCCTAGGAGTCCTGTGGCCCATGATACTGCCTTGTCCCTTGAAACCCACTCTTTGGAATAACTTGGTGAGGAGGGGGATGAGCCACCCACTCCTTGGCACAGGGCGAGGTGCGATGTGGGGCTCAGCGGTGGAGCCCTCAGGGAAAGCCTTGGCTTGACTACTGGCTCAGGGCCCCTTGAGGAAGGGCTCTCGGCTTTGTCTGGTCAAAACAGGCACCGGCACCACAGCAGCGCCTGGCAGTCCTTCTCTGGAATAATCCAGGGGTCCGAGGACCTGCCCACGGTGGGGGTGTTCTACACGAGTCCCCGCCTCCTAGAGATTTGCCTTCTCTCTGACCCCAGCCCAAGGTCCTGGTTGATCCCATGTCCAGGGCAGCAGAGCCACCTTCACCACCGAAGGGCTGAGTGGAAGCACAGAACCTCTGGGCTGGCGATGGCTCACCCAAAGGGGCCAGAGACTTACCTGCCGAGAGGAAAAACCTGCCAATCTGGACGAAGGGGGCTGTTGCTGTGAACGACTCCACGGCCATCGCACTGTGGGAAGAGGGAGCTATCAGGGAAGCAGGGCGCCAGGTAGGAGTATGAGTTCCTTGGGTTGTGCTGGGGAGGGTCCCTACCCAGATGGCTCCTGCAAGTCCAGACCAGCCAGGCACTGCAGACATCTTGTCTTTACCAACAACCCCACCCCCTGGGTGACCTCAAGGCCCCCTTCCCTGGATGGAACATCCCCATTCTGTCTCCTGTTTCCAGAGCTCATACCCTCTTGCCTAGATCCCAAACAGCCTGTCCCACCCCCAGCCATTAGATGGACCTTCCATGGACTTCACAGCCTCACTGACCCCAGCCCCAGGTAGTGTCTAAGCCCACCATGCACATTCACACCAGGCCTGCTCCACCCACGTCCCTGAGCTAACCTCCCCCTGCCAAAACCCTACAAGGGCCCAGATCACGTGCCACTGCTCCTGTAAGCCCTTCCTGACTGTCCTCCTTCCCTATGGCTAATGGTTAACAAAGGCTTCCCTGGTACTACACATGCAAATCCCTTTGGGCAAGTGTCCAGGCCTTAAATTCATGACTTGTTTGAGGATAGCTTGTTTGGGGTCAGGGAAGTTGGGTCTCGCCTCTGTTTCTGGTGCCCAGGAGCTGTCCCATCTAGCACCCAGACTTGTGCCAGGGAGTTGGTGGTCATCCCAGACCACAGTGTGGCCCACATGTCCAAAACTTTAATCAACTCATGATGCAGAAGTAACTCAGTCCCATTACTCAGATGAGAAAGCTGAGGCTGGAGACATGCCAGGGATGGCTAAGGCTGCACTGGGGGCCCAGACCTCACCTAGGGTTTTTGTGGCCAATCTCTCGGTCGAAGTTTCTGCTGTTGACGATTTCCGACCGCCATTCAGGGTCTGTTGTGGGAAGAGGGAAGAACTCAGCAGCCATGGTAGTAGTGGTCACATGTCCAAGGTCCACTTATCCAAGCCTGTGACCATTCTAGAGCTGAAGGGGCAGCTCCTAGAGCCTCGCTGGATGATGGGAGAGCAGGGCTTTGAGCACCAGCACCCAGGGACCCCGACACCTGGTTCCGTGCCCTTCCCCACTGCAGGGATGTGCCCAGCATCTGCCCACAGGCCTGGGATGTGGCCCTGGAGAACAGGGGCCTATACTCACTGTAGGAGTACTTCCTCTCTGTTTTCACCTGCCCGTCCTCAGTATAATCTCTGTGAGGAAAGCACAGCAGTTCCAGAGTCAGTCCGTCATCCTGAGACATCCCCATCTCTAAGCATCTCCAGCTGAAGCAACTTGGGGCTACCCAGTCAAACTGCCCAAATGGAGCAGGCCTTGTCTGCACCAGCCCAGACAGGCTGCTCACTCCCTGGCAGACAGCCAGCTCCAGCCATTGAAGGCCCTGACCCGAGAAAAACTGCTTTCTCATCTGGAGCTGAAATTTGCCTCTGCCTGGCTCACACCAAGGGTCACAGTTCCTCTCTCTGGACTCAGAGATCTGGCTGTACCCTCTGCTCCAGGACAGCCCCATGGAGACCCTCTATAGGTGCCCTGCGCCAGGCTGCGCTTGAGCTGCTCCGGCTCACCCAGCCACCTCTCCACCCCCAACTCATGGTCCATTTGGCTCAGGTGGGGGTGGCCCACCATAGTTCCAGGTGACCCCCACCATGGCCAATGAGAGTCTCCCCTAAGACATCCGTTAAAACTGATAGGATGTTGCCCTCGACGGTTTGGCTCAGTGGATAAGAGTATTGGCCTGTGGACTGAAGGGCTCTGGGTTTGATTCTGGCCAACGGCACATGCCCAGGTTGTGGGCTCGATCCCCAGAGGGGTGCATGCAGGAGACAGCCAACCAATGATTCTCTCTCATCATTGATGCTTCTATCTCTTTCTCTGCCTCTCCCTTCCTATCTGAAATCAATAAAAATGTATTTTTTTTAAAAAAAGAAACCTGATAGAATATTGCCAGCTGGGTGATTCAGTTGGTTGGAGTGGTGTCCGATGCACTAAAAAAGTTATGGGTTTGATTCCCGGTCAGGAAACACATACTTAGGTTGCAGATTCAATTCCTGGTCAGGGTGCGTATAGGGGGCAACCAAGTATGTATGTTTCTCTCTCTCTCTCTTTCTCCCCCCACCACTTCCTCTCTCTAAAAATCAATAAAAACATATCCTCAGGTGAGGATTAAAAAATAATATTTTTTAAAAACTCATAGGATGTAAGCCAGGAGGCCATTTCTGTCCCCTCATGGGAGAGAAGATGGAATTAACACATGGGGAAAAAAATTGTTTGTGGCCTGAAACCAGTAACGCCTTAAGCTCAGGCCACTGCATTGGATTTCTGCCACCGCCAAACAAAAGATCATTCACTAATAACTTTGGGACAATTTGACATTTCTCTGATAGACGATTTCATACTTTAAATTTCAGAAGTGTCAAAATGAAAGTCACCTGCATGTTATCCTCACATCTGCACCTTCTCTTCCCCCAGCTGATTTCTGCTCACTGGCACCTCACCTGGACTCCTCCGTCTCCACCCACTGGTACATCTCCACGTGCCGCCGCAGCTTCACAGCCGGAATGTGGACCCCATAGTTCGGATCAGACAAGAGCTTCAAAAAGAATCAAACAAATCAAAAGTGAATACATAAAAAACAGAACCACACCGGCCCAGAATGCCTGGCTCAGGGGGAGCTGGGCTAGAAAAGAGACAGAGGACCAGGACGGGACAGGACAGAGAACTCTACGTTGCTTCACGTAGGAGAATGGAGTGAAGCTGCCTTTCCCAAGTTCTAAACCAATGCCTGTGACATGTGCCTCACAGCACAGGCTCAGGCTACATGGCCCAGTGGCCCTGGAAAGGTCCAATAACCAGAGTACCTTCGTAGCCTTGCACTAGACACACATGCTAATCATAATCATTAAAGCACCTATTTGTAAAGCTTATGCCACATGCCAGGCACTGTGCCAGGACGTTAGCTACTTAATCCCACCCAATCTTCAAAACTGGCCCCCCAATTTGCTACAATTCTTCTCCCCAATTTACAGACGAAGATGTTGAGACTCAGAAGTGATGGGTCCACCCAGCTGCTGAGTGTGGGGTCAATCATCACACCCAGGTGTGTCCATGCTTTCAAAATCCTCAACCGAACAATGTCTAGTGATGTGCCGCACGCCTCCAGGAGGTCAGCAACCATGGTGAAACGCACCTTGGATGTCCGCAGGGCCCCAATGATGTGCACCAGCCTCCCCTCGTTCTCCGGAGCCACACTGTGGATGCTGTCAGGGGACACCACAAGTGAGAGCCCCTCAGCCAGGGCGGTTGCTGTCTTCAACGCGCGACCCTGTGAGCAAAGGGGAGTGAGCATTTCAACAGCTCAGGCGTAGCCTGACACAGCATCTCAGGGCAGCATGGGCCTCAGAGAGCATTGAGACTGACCTTCCCATGTTGCAGTTGGAAAACTGAGGTCTACCAAGTGGCGGTGTGGGGACTGAAACCCAGGGTTCCTGCTTTCCCAGGCAGCCCTCTTCCCACCACCCCACTGCCTCCATACTAGAGCTAGCTGCCGTTTTGTCTGCCTTGTACCCCTTTCCCTATTTTCCTCTGCTTTCTCCTCCCCGTTCCTACTCAGTCCATGTGATTTACTTGGGTGTCAGTCCAAATCATGTGACCCAGGGCTAGCCAATCAGAACATTTGTTCATTGGCCATAGGGACTGGTTCAGAGTGAACACTGAGACTCAAGCCAGGACTCAGAGATCTCCCTGCAACTGTTGCTAAAATCATTTAGAAGGAGATGGTTCCTTTGTTCTCTGGGGCTGCTATGCTGATTGGATATAAACCTGGAATTCCTTTGCCACCACAAAGGAAGAGTCTGCCAAAAAAAAAATCCACAACAGAGAAACATGGACAGCAGATAAAGAAATGGAGATTCCTAGTGACCCAGCATAAATGCCTGGATGCAACCGTGCCTAAAGCTTGTGCTACCCCCAGGATTTCAGGTGTGTTAACCTGTCCACTCTTCTCACTTATTTTGGTTGGGGTGGGATGTATGTGTCAAATCACAAAGAATTCTGGTGAATTCAACATCCCCCTCTCTCTATTGTAAAATCTAAGTCCTTATTACTAAATCCAGCCTCTGGATTCACAGCCTTTGCCCCCTGACGCTATGGGGAACCTCACGCTGCACAGACCCTGAACAATTTACCTCATTGGTAAAAATTAAGTAGAAGGAGAGTAGGAAGGTCACGAGCCCCACAAACATCCCACCCGAGGTCTCGCTCAGCCGCTCCAGGAAGCCTGGCTGGGGGTCAGTCGTAATTTTGACGTGTTCTCTTCTATTGCTCATATTAGAATACTGAAAAAAAAAGAATAAAATTTAGTTTTTAAAATAAATCAAATTTCATTATTTATACTTAGTTTTCACCTTAATTATATATGGTAAAAATGCACAGATATTAAGTGTACAGTTTGATGGGTTTTGACAAACACATACCCCATTTGACCAACATCCTGGACAAGATACAGAACATGTCTATCACCCTAGAAAGTTTCCTTGTGCCTCTTTCCGGCCAACACTCCCCTCTCCCCACCTCCCAGAGTTAACTACTATTAGTTGGTAAGGTGGGTAGAGATATAACATCCCCCAGTCCACATTCTGAATCAAATTCCCTCTGAACAGGATGATGGAGACCTCCTCTGCTCATCCTCACTACCCATCCCTGCACCTATCCTAACCTGAAGGGCACCCTCCCGAGCCTTCTGCCTTCCCTTCCAAGTCATCTTGATGTTGGCTGCATAATGAGTGTTGAATACCTCTATGTATCCTCAGTGACACATACCCTTCCAGTCCCAGCACGCTGGGCTCAAAAGTAATGAACGGTGGGAACAGAGGTCAGCACACAGGCCCTGAAAATCACTTGCTGTGAAACCCTGGGTAAGTTGCTCCACCTCTCTGATCCTGTGTACTTGTTTATAAAATGGAGATGGTAAACAGAACCTGTGACAGGACAGTGGTTACACTGCTTAAAAAATCTTCGTCACGTGCCTGCTCCACCCCACCAGGGCTTGGTGGCTCCTCCCCTAAATACACACACACTGGGCTACTAGAAGCAACAAAGACTTGGCAATAGAGGATACCCATATTCATCGACATTCCTTGGCAAGGGTCAGGTCCCAACATATCCCGGATGGTCTCTGCCCACCAGGATGGCCCAGGATGGACACTGTGAAGAATTTTTTTCATATATTAAGTTCCTACTTCACACCAGGCACTGTTGAAAGCATAGCCTCCCTTAAACTTCCCAGTAACCCATCCCACTAGAGATCAGGGCCACACAACTACAGAGAGGAGGAAAGTGGATTTGCCCCCAGGTCTGCCTGACCCCAAAGCCTGCCATTTTCAGCACCTTCCCCTGATGTCACCTGCCAAGCTGGCTCTGAGACCTGGGCAAGTGCCTTCCCCCCGCTGGGGAAAGTCTCCATCTGTGAAATACGGTGGTGGGGTATGGGGGCGGATAGGAGTCCACCTTTAGGGGTAAGTGAGTCTCCTGACTGCCCTCTCTCCTGGCAGACCCTGGGCCTCATGGACCACCTCTGAGGCCTTTCTAGGTGCAGCATTCAAGGCCTCTAGGCCTCGAAGACAACTCTGATCTGGGGCAGAGAGGCTCAGGCTGTCAGCCACACAAACTCTGCTTCTCAGAGGGTGTGGGAGGTAGAAAGGATCCTTGGAGACAGAGAAGGGGCGTGGAAGGAGGGTGTGACCGGCCAGGAGCGAGTGGGTAGGACACTCCACCACAGCGGGAGGGAGTGTCTGGGGCTGGCCGGGCTCCCCAGCTGGCTCCAGAAGCACTTTCACAGAGGAAGGCAGTGGTGAGTCACCAGCTTCTCCCCTAGGCAGCACCCTGGTGGAAAGGGCCGCTCCATTTGTTGAATGAATGTTGCACTTAAGTAGAATGGTTCTTGAGACACGCTGGCTGCGGGGAGAGGAGGCCAGCGGCCTTGGGAAAGGAATCACCTCCAATCGGGACCTTTCTAACCAAACCCACGCTAGGAGGATGAGGGGCCAGGCAGCAGGGAAATGCGCCCTCCTACGGTCACCCTTCCTCCTCCGCTCCCACCAAGACCTGTGCCGGTCCGCAGCCTCACAGCCTCGGTTCACCTACCCGCCTAGGCGGGAGCTCACTGCCGGTCCCTGCTGGACAGCTCCGCCCGGGCGGCCTCGGCCTCCCCACCCTTCGGCCTCCCGCGGACTCGCCCTCTCTGAGGTCACGTCCAGCTCCGCAAATCTGGGAACGAGGGCCCCGGCGGTAACTGGGGATGAAGGTGGGGCTGCTGGGAGGTGCTGCGCGCAAGTAGATCCCAAATGTCCGGGGCAACACCTCCTGAGTCTCCCTGCCCACAAAAGCGCGCCCAAAGAATACGGACAAAAGGAGTCTGGAGTCTGGACAGGCTAAGAGAAATGAATAGACGGATTAGCTGCCGGGAGGCATGCAAACAGCATGCAAAGGGAGCCAGCGGGACGCACAGACCAGGATCAGTCAGACAAGCAAAATGGACCCACGGGAGGAAAGATGGCCCGTGACGGGGAAGCTTGGGTGTGGCCCGACAGACCAGGGGACACTCACATTCGCGGCCATGGTGAGGCCCGGCTCGCCGCCCCGGCTCGCTCTGCTCAGGTAGGAAAGGGGTTTACGGCCAGAGTGCGGACGCCCTCTTGTCTGCCTGAGTTGCGAAAACGCGCGTGAAGCCCAGAACCAGAGGGGATGTACTACAATGTTACCGCCCCGTGATCTCCAGCCTCTCTGCTCATGCGCGCCGCAAGGTCTTTTGGAAAACGTAGTCCGGGGTCAGGTACTTTCGCCACAAAGTTGCAAAAGGCCTTGTATGTCACTGATACGCCTGCGCATCGCAAGGCTTTCTGGGAAGTGTAGTTCCTGCTGCCCGGCGGCGCGCGGCCTGCTGGGTATTGTAGTTCCCTGCTGAGGAGTCCCCAGGTTGGGGCTGGAAAGGCGCGGAGGCAGGCGCGCGGCGGGCAGGCCTGGAGGGGGCGGGTTCACGTGGGCCTCGGGGCCTCCCGCCCTACCAGAGAAGAGGTCACGGCGTGAAGCCGCCGCTCCCGCTGCCGCTGCCGCCGCTACCGCCGCGAGGTCTGAACGCTGGTCTGCAGCCATGGCCTACTGCCGGCAGGAAGGTAGGGAGGGTGAACTGCCGAGGAGACCGGCCTACGAGGCCCTGCCGGGGTCTGCTGCCTCCGCACGCTTGGGCACCCGGCGACCTCATTGCCGGTGCGGGCAACCCCAGGCTGTCCGGGGTACCCTCCTGGGACCTTTGGAGCTGGCTGGGCGGCGGGGTTACCACCCCCGTTTTGCAGATGAGAAAACCGAGACTGGGAGGAACGAGGCTGTCCAAGGTCACACAGAGGCTCGAACCCGGACCTCAGAGGTGCCGGCTCGTGGGGGAGTTTATAAACTAGACCCGAGCGGGTAAGGGGAGTGCTGGGCACGTTTCTCCCCCGGCTCGCGAGTGGGAATTCATTGTCACTCTTACTGTCGCTCTTACCACACACCACGTGTTACCATTTGCACGCGCCTTGTAACTGTCCTGAAAAGTCATGCGGGTTAGGTGTGATAGAGTGGTAGAAGTACCGGCAACAAGAACATTTTTTAAATATATTTTTATTGATTTCAGAGAGGAAGGGAGAGGCAGATAAAGAGAAAGAAACATCAATGATGAGAGAGAATCATTCATTGATCCTCTGCCTCCTGCACGCCCCTAGCAGGGACCGAGCCCGCAACCCAGGCATGTGCCCTTGACCGAATCAAACCCGGGACCCTTCAGTCCGCAGGCCGACACTCTATCCACTGAACCATAGGCTAGGACAAGAACTTTTTTTTTTTTTTTTAGTCCCAACTACATATCAGGCACTCTTCAAGGAGCTTTATAGGGTTTGTCATTGATCTCGCAGCGACCTTTGTAAGTCAGGCTCAGTTAAGACCCAGAGAGACTTGGCTAAAGCCACGTGGTGGGTAAGTCTTGGAGCTGGGGTTTAAGCCCTAGCAGTTTGGTTCCAGAACTGCACCATCCAATCTGGTGCCCAGTGGATTCCAGGGAGCCCTCTTCTGGGAGGACACCCCCCACGCCCCATCCTCACACGCGCGCGCGCGCACACACACACACAGTTAGGGTTCAAAAGCCTCCAAGCCTGTTTCCAAACTTGTAAAATGAGAGTTAAAAGAAGTTAGTCTTCATTCATTCAGCAGATATTCATGACGAACCTTCTGGATCCCAGGTGATGGGGATGGTGGCGAAGCTACAGAAAGAGTTGGAACTCACCCAGAAATTGTTCGGTGGATAAATAGTCTGGCTCCCTCCGTTTAATTCGGGGGATCTGGAGCCCAGAGAAGATGACCTACCCAAGGTCATAAATCAAGTTAGGGCAACAGTTAGTCTAAAATGTTAAGCCTTTTCCCTCGCCCCACCTTGCTTCTAGATTCCTCCTTTCCTGGGTCGTAAAGCCATGGTAATCATTGATGTTGCTAATGAGAACGATTTATGTTGACTAATGCTTAATTGTGCCATGGATAAAAGTCCTCTGCCCTTGCCACTCCGTTAAACAGTGGGTCTCTTGTTCTTAATTTTCTTTCTCTGAATCTCTCATTTCATCATTTAACAAGTAATTTTGAGCCTTTGGGGTATGATGAGGCTGTGCAGATTAAAACCCCTCCTCGACCTTGAGTATTTCTAGGAATCACAAGTTATCTGGGAATGAGAGGTAGGTTCCTTTTTCCACCAAAGCATTGATCCTTATCTTTTCTCAGTTGAAAGATCTCTTCTTAGTTTAGGGATGAGAATTGAAAGCACTCTCTTTTTTTAAAATATATTTTATTGGTTTTTTTTTACGGAGAGGAAGGAAGAGGGATAGAGAGTTAGAAACATCAATGAGAGAGAAACATCAATCAGCTGCCTCCTGCACACTCCCCACTGGGGATGTGCCCGCAACCAAGGTACATGCCCTTGACCGGAATCAAACCTGGGACCCTTCAGTCTGCAGGCTGACGCTCTATCCACTGAGCCAAACCAGTCAGGCTGAAAGCACTCTTATCTAGTTTTTAATCTTATCCGTACCCACTGTCCCTAAGTCCCCAACTTTTTGGGTTTTTTCTACCCACCAATTTTTTTATGCTTCTCCTGGGACTTAGAAAAATGATCACAAACTCCTTGCCCTGTAAGGGCTTAAAAGCTAAGAGAATTAGATGGGCTATATTCGCCATATTCCCAAGATCTAGCACATGGCCTGGTCTATAAATGGGTGCTCAAGTGTTAATCGAATAAACTCATACACAGACCTGCACTCTGTTCTTATTGAATCACTTGCCTGTGCAAATTTACTTCACCCCCCAGCCTCAGGTTAAAGGCCTTAGCTTGCATTCAAGGCATTCCACAGCATGGCTCATCCTTGCTCCCTGGCCTTGGGCTGCCCACACTTGCCTGTTCCTTTCTTTAGTTTCCTCCTTTTCTAACACTGAGCCTGCGCTCTCCTGTTCAGTCAACAAACATTTACTGAACCCCTGTGACATGCCATCTACTTCACATTAGTAGTGAGCACAGGTGACGAAATCTGCCTCCAGGCCTGGTGGACACTTCTGGGTTGGATATGCTCAGAGACTGTGATGTAATGATCCAATGCATATCCATGCTCCCCTTCGGGGGAAAGGTGAGACCACCCACCCAATAGTGTTGTTGGAGTGCTTAACAGTGATAATCAGTCTGTCTTCCTGCCCCTCTGCTGCATGTCCTAATCCAGAGTTCCATTTCTCCACTTAACTCCTTCAACAATAATGATTACCCACTATGGTCTGGGCACTGTTCCAGGCTCTGGGGGTACTGCAATGAACGGAAAAGACAAACCCTTGTGCCTAAGGAGCTGACATTTCACTGAGGGAGATGGGTGGTAAATAAATATATAACATGGAAGGTGAGGAAAAGTGCTGTGGAGGAAAAGAAAGCAGGATGACGGAGATGCAGAATGGTCAGGGAAGGTGGCCTCCTAGCAGGTGGTAGGAAGACATGTGAGGGAGGTGATCCTGGAGGAGAGAACAGCCTGTGTAAAGGCCCCGAGGGATGTGTGTGCTCAGCATATTCAAGTGAATGCAAGAAGGTGCTGGAACGTGGGAGCAAGTAGTGGAAGGTGAGGTCATGTGAGGGATGCAGATCTTTCTAGACATACTGGTACTTAAAGCTAGAACCAACCTCATTTGATGATGGAAGTGTGAGAGAAGACAGGCGTCAAGGGTGGCTGTACAGAGTAAAACTCCACAGAGTTAGTCTTGGTATCCAACTGCTCAGCCCCACTCTGAAGTCCTGCTTTCAGAATGACCCCTGGGGCCTTGCATTCCCACCCTTCCCAGGGTCCTGGAGTGGGGATTGATTTTCTCTAGTTGACTGCCTCTCCTTGTGAGCCTTGGGACTAGCGTCTCCATTCATTGCACCAGAGAGCACTCTCTGTCAGCTTGTCCACGTCTAAAACTGTTGACATCTCTCGCCTCTGGTGACCTCTTCCTGGCCATTTTATTCTTGTCATTTGAGCGGGATTTCAGTTGAGAGCAGAAACTTGTTTCACTTTCTTCGTTTACCATGGTAGGTAGGCTGAGCTGGTGAGGGGCCTGTTTTTCTGAGTCCCCCAAAGGTCAGGAGGTGCCTAACTACCCCACTAGTTGGCATGCTTAGGTTCGGCTCTTCCACAGTTAGGACTGTCAGGAATAAGTAAGCATTGTCCTTGCATTCACTTTTAAACATTCCAGGAAGCAAAGACCTGGGAATATGTATATTTCTTATTATAAATCACAGTACCACATCCGTCCATCCAGTATAACCTCTCAAAGAGGGATGTCCAAGAAGATGCTTGCAAGGACTCAGCCTGTGGGAGGGAGCTGAACATTCTCGGAGGGACTGTGCTAGGCCTGGGACTCGCACGCTGGCTGTGTGTCACAGCTACCTGTGAAGCTAGGGAGCAATGTGAACATGCCAGAGTTTGATTTAATTTTCGTTGGGTGCGGCCTGGCCTCTGGACCTCCTTATTGGTCTGGGTCTAGCTGAGGTCTTGGTAAACAAAACTGTCAGAGATGAGCTGAGAAATTTGCTGTCAGCTTATTCTGCTTAGAATTCAGCATTTTTTGCAGGTTGCTTTCCAGTATTTTGAAAATGACAGGACCACCAGGGTCGTTAGTTACTTGAATGTGCCCTGGCTGCTTGGCTGAAATCCTTTCCCAGGCCACGTTGGAAAAGCAGTCTTCCCTGGGATAAAATGTGAGGTGTGGAGGCAGAGACCAGCTCAGTCCCTGTGCATGCTGAGGGTCACCTGTTGGTACTGTTACCCGTTCGGGAGGGATGTGAAGCACCCAGGCGCCTTCCCTCTGTCCCTTCACCTGTCCTTTTCACTGGAAGTGTCGCTCTGCTTCTTGCTGTCACCCCAAGCCTCTTTCTTAAATGTGGCAGCCCAAGCATGTCCCCACCCCCAAATAAAAGTATGAAATAGTAAGAGAAAATGCCAGCAGCTCTCAGAGAGCCACATTTCTGCAGGCCCGGCCTCTGCTCCCACAGTAGCTAATTCAGTCCAGGCCGCTGACTAAGGCTTGTCCAAGGGCACATTTGGATGGTGCCTGGAGAAGTCTTAAATGCCAGGCACCTCCCATCCCCGTCGATGAGGGTCCCATTACCCCAGATCTCCTAGGTTACAGGGGGTAGTTAGGGCTATGGACTTTGTCTTTCCCTTCAGCAGCTGGGTACCAGTAGCTTAGAAAAAAACTTATTCAGGCACTCAGCAAACATTCATTGACTTAATTCTAAGCTTCTTGGTCAGGAATTGGGTCAGTATTTATTGTACAGAACATTTATTCCTACCCAAAGCGCACACAGCTCTCAGGATAGAGTCCAAGTGATGCTGAGTACTCGGTGTCAAGCTGTCATTATTATTCTCATGTTTGTGTGTTTGGGGGCAGTGGAGGTGTGTGGAAAGGATATCCATAGTGTGGCCTTTGGAGTCGCAGAACTGGATTCAGATTCCAGCCCTGTGTGAGCAAATCACTTCCCACCTTAAAATGGGGCTCCTGCCCTAGCCTGTATGGCTCAGTGGATAGAGCATCAGCCTACAGACTGAAGGGTCCGGGTACGATTCTGGCCAAGGGCACATGCCCAGGTTGTGGGCTCGATCCCCAGTGGGGGGCTTGCAGGAGGCAGCCGATCAATGATTCTCCCTCATCATTAATGTTTCTCTCTCTCCCTCTCCCTTCCTCTCTGAAATTAATAAAAATATGTTATTCTTTTTTAAAAAATGGGGCTCCTGCTGTCTCCTGTGAGGGTAATGACAAGATGGCAGGAGCTAGCTGACATGGAAGACCCAGAGGGGCCAGCCCTCCAGGGACTGCAAGGCCAACTGATGACCATGCAGCATGTGTGGCTCTGGAACAGCTGTGGGCAAACTACGGCCCGCAGGCCAGATCCAGCCCGTTTAAAATGAATAAAACTATTGAAAAAAAAGACCGTACCCTTTTATGTAATGATGTTTACTTTGAATTTATATTAGTTCACACAAACTCTCCATCCATGCTTTTGTTCCGGCCCTCCGGTCCAGTTTAAGAACCCATTGTGGCCCTCGAGTCAAAAAGTTTGCCCACCCCTGCTCTAGAACAAGGTGCTCCCCACTCACCGTGGGATAGGAGAGATACCTGCTGTGTAGTTAGCTGATGGCCACAGGTTTTGGGAAAGTGAGGACAAGTGCCAGCAGCTACAAGGTGTAGAGGAGGGAGTCCAGTAGGTGAGGTCCCTGCCTTGCTGGTTGATTTTGAGTCACCACTCCGGGCTTTGCTTTTTATGCTGTGTAAAATCAGGGCAATAAAACTTTATAGGTTCACTGAAAGTTTAGTTGAAGTGAGCCATGGAATACACCCATCCTGGTTCATTCAGTGCTGGTTCCCTTTTTTGTGCTTCCCATGAGAAGAACCTCATATAAAATGCATTTGGTCCGGCCAGTATAGCTCAGCAGTTGAAAGAGGCTGCCGGTTATTTCCCGATTAGGGCACATGCCTGGGTTGTGGGCTCAATCCCCTGTGTGGGGGCGGGGGGTGTAGGAGGCAGCCGATCGATGATATTTCTCTCTCATCAGTGTTTCTATCTCTCTATCCCTCTCCCTTTCTCTCTCTAAAAATCAATAATTTTATTTATTTTTATTGTATTATTATTATTTTTTAATGCATTTGGCTCCTACCAGTTTGCTTTTCTGGAGGCTCATGGCCCTCTGACAGCCAGGTTCATGGGGCTAGGCGCAGTGGTCAACAAACTCATTAGTCAACAGAGCCAAATATCAACAGTATAACGATTGCAATGTTTTTTGAGAGCCAAATTTTTTAAAATTAAACTATATAGGTAGGTACATTGTTATTAACTTAATTAGGGTACTCCTAAGGCTTAGGAAGAGCCACACTCAAGGAGCCAAAGAGCTGCATGTGGCTCACGAGCCGCAGTTTGCCGACCACAGGGCTAGGGGTTCTGGCCCTGATTAGGGTGTCTTCCTGATGCTGGTTTTTGGTCTTTGGAGGGCATCAGTACTGGCTCTGCTGCCTAGCCTGTTATGTTTGGGTTCGGTGAATGTTCTAAAAAACAAGCTGCAGATTGTCACAGATGTGTATGTCAAATTAGATGCCTCAACCCAACAGTTTAATATAAGCAGGTGAGCCTCCTTCACTGTAAGTCTGGGTGTGATCGGCTGCCTCTTAGCTGGGCCCTGGAGTAGGCCCTTTAAAAATAGTTTCTCAGTCTGGCAGATGTGGCTCAGTGGTTGAGCACTGACCCATGATTCAGGAGGTCACAGTTCGATTCTGGGTCAGGGCACATGCCCAGGCGGCAGGTTCAGTCCTTAGTTGGGAGTGTACAGGAGCCAACCAATCAATAATGCTCTGTCATCATTGATGTTTTTCTCTCTCCCTCTCCCTTCCCCTGAAATCAATTAAAAATATTTTTTTTCAAAGCGTAGTTTCTCAGATCACTATAATCTTATGGGTCTTGGGCCATGAGTGAGCCCTGTTGGTTTTCAAAGTTAGATGTTGGAGGGCTCATCTCTCAAGTGTGTGTCTTCAAAGCTGGGATGCTCAGTGTGGGGTTCCCTCCCTTCGCTCCTCAAGGAGAAACTCCGGGTTTTGAGTTCTCTCCCTGTTGTGGGTCACTGTGGTGGGGGCGGGATTTATGGCGAGATTGTGTCCAGGCCTCTCTGCCTCTGCTGCTCACTTAGATGTAGTTTTCTTCTCTTTGCCCAATGTGCAGTTGTCACAGCCTGCCTAGGTTTTTTAGTGTGGTTGTGTGTTTTTTTTAGTATATTTTTATTGAAAAAATATATATATTTTTTTATTATTGACTTCAGAGAGGAAGGGAAATGGAGAGAGAGAAAGAAACATCAATGATGAGATTGATCGGCTGCCTCCTGCATGCCCCCTACTGGGGATCGAGCCCCCAATCCGGCATGTGCCCTTGACTAGAATCGAGCCTTCAGTCCACAGGCCTACGTTCTATCTACTGAGCTAAACAGGCTAGGCCAGCCTAGGTTTGTGTTTGTGTTTGTGTTTGTTTTTGTTTTCCAGCCTTGGTTTTTTAAAAAGGAAATTGTTCCACATGAACCTGTAGACTCAGTATGTCCATGGGGGAAGGAGAGTTCAGACTCTTTCTGTATCATCATCTTGAACCCTCTTGTTTTTCTTTGGCTTTTTTTCCTGTCCCTCATGTTCCACCCCTTCACACCCCACACCCCAGCACAGTGAGAGAGAGCAGCTTGTGTATCAGGTGGGGGGTGCCCAGCAGCAGGCACTCCCAGCATCCCTGGGGCTAGTAGGCCATCATCATTCCACAAGTATTATCTGAACACCGACTGCTCGAAGATCCCTGCAAGGTCTGGAGGAGGGGGAGGCATGACAAGTGGGAGGGGCTCACAGGTTGATGGGAAATAACATGGACAGGCAGCACCATGGAAGGACTGCTCCTTGACTTGAAGAAAAAAGACTTGTTCATCGCCAGAATGTCAGCCAATTTGGGGACTAAAAGCAGCTGCATTTGGTAGGATTGGGCATCACATCTCCCACGTGGAGGATGCCTGGGGTGGGCAGGGTTTGCTATCACCATCCTCACCCAAGACCTTGGTGGAGTTTTCGTTCCAGCCACAGGTACTCGGTAAAAGCGGCTGCTAAGCCGTGCATCATGCAGTCAGTGACTCAGCCCAGGGAGGGCAGGTCGATGGTCACCTAACCTTGGGGTTTCATGTGGGACATTCCTCAAACTTGGTGTGCTTGCCTGTTTTGGACGGAGGGCTGATTTCACTGCTCTTGAGTGAAAGGTTTCTTCCTCTGCCCTCCAATCACTAGGGAAGGATCGAATTATATTTGTGACCAAAGAAGACCATGAAACTCCAAGCAATGCAGAGCTGGTGGCTGACGATCCCAATGACCCATACGAGGAGCATGGTGAGTGGCATGGGGCCTCCCAGGGACCCACGGACATGGACTGAGGGAAAAGTTCATCGTTCAAAAATGGTCTCCCATTGTGCCCTAGCCAAGGCAGGTGTGCATCTCGGCCATGGGCCATCTCTCAGGACAGTGGGTTCATCGCCCTCAGAATTGTAACGGGCTGTTTTGGGCCCTTGTTCTGATGCACTTCCCTGGCCATTAGGCTAGAACCTAAGAGTTTCTCCTTACTGAAGTCTTCTGCCTCTTTTTCTTAGTTTTTGTGTTGGCTTAAGCCGCTGGTTGGATGCTTCCCAGTGACTATGTTTTGGGAGAGGGTGTCAGTGGATTTTGGCAGTTCCAGGTAGGTTAAGGTGACGGAATCCCCCCGTTCAAACAAGTTACCACGCTGAATTCTGCCACATCTGCAGACTATTAGCAAGCAGGTATCTAATAGCCACACCCTTGTTCTGTGAGGTATTTTCTCCTTGTAGGTTCCCCAACAAGCACTTGCTGGAAAAGCTCATTTGAGATAGAGGGACAGTGTTCTAGCAGCAGGATTCAGCTAACCAGTTACACACAACTTAGTTAATGGTCACTTGGGCATCACTCTAAAGACTGGACTGTTGGACTCACTAGGACTTACCCAGCCTGTATAAGGCAGCTGTGTATGTGCAGTATTCATACATAGTCCAGGTTTCATAAACAGTACTCACTCCACCAATCTAAAGCCTTTTCTGACATCCCTGGTGATAACAAACAAGCCTTTAGTGTTGATTGGTGATACATATGATTGAAAGAGCTGGTAGGAGCTGCCTGGAGAATATGAGCTCCTGGTTGGGATTTTTCAAATGCTAAGAATAAAGTGTATGTTCTTAGGTAGGACACTGTTTACTACCCTGGCTGCCCCTAGGGATTAGAGGAAAGCTCAGTAGGCATTATCTAGCATCTTAAGGGGGCAGTGGGAAGTGCAAACATTATACAAAGTATTAGATTTCTGAGAATCACAGCTATAGGAGTAATCTTAAATCACACTCTAATAAAGAAAAGTAAATCACACACAAATTCTAGTCCCTTGCTTGTCTTTAGATCCGTATTAGTTAAGCACATTTCTTTAATTGATTGAGCCTGTGTGGGGCCTGCAGGACAAATCAGGTTTGGTTTTGTCTGCCTCATAATCTTTTTATAAAAACTGGAATGTGTCTGTCTTTAGATTGTTCATTCCCCCTACTTTCTGCCATTCTTTATCACTACGCTTGTTTTTTTCTCCTACCTGCTTGGACCCTATAGGTATTTGCCTTTGCAAGCCCTTCTTGTGAATAATTGTGTGAGGAGGTATATAAAACAGAGAACTCTGGGATCCAGGATCTGAGCTCTCAGTTGCAAAATTGCTCATCTTAAAACATGCTGCATATGCACTTAATTTAACATGCTGAAGCTACCACTGATGTGTTTTTACATTGTTTCCCTGAAGTGCAAATTGGCTTCATAGTGTCCTCTGTGAAGCACTACTGCGTTTTAGCTCACCTTCCTCTGATAAACAGTGGTGGTACAAGGACTCCTGCAGACCTAATTATTACTGCTTTTTTTAAGGAATAGTGATAGTCCTGTTTTAAATTAACTAGAGAGAAAGAGAGGAAAGGAGAGAGCGAGAAAGAAACATCAATTTGCTGTTCCACTTATCTATGCATTCCTTGGTTGCTTGTATGTGCCCTGACCAGGGATCAAACCCACAACCATGGCATATCGGGACAACACTCTAACCAACTGAGCTACCCAGCCAAGGCCTGAACTATTACTTTTTAAAAATATATATTTTTATTGATTTCAGAAGGGGAGAGAGATAGAAACAGCAATGATGAGAGAAAATCATCAGTCAGTTGCCTCCTGCACACCCACACAGGATTGAGCCTGCAACCCAGGCATGTGCCCTGACCGGGAATCGAACCGTGACCTTCAGGTTTATAGGTTGATGCTCAACCACTGGGCCACACCAGCAGGGATGAACTTTTACTTTTAATGTTAGCATTATGATATATTTCCTTTTGCAAACTGTGCAGGTGTGTTAGCATTGTTGAGCATCCAGGGGGCAGCATTTGTTATGCTTCCAGCGCTGACAAGACCTGCGAAATTGGGAGCGGTGGTGAGATGTGGAGCAAAGAGCATGGCCTCTGGGAATCCTAAGGGCCCTCGCTGTAGTCCTGACTTAGACCCCACTGAACCCCAGAAACCTCATGTGTAAACTAGAATTAGAAACACCCACTGCAGCAGGTTGACAGAAGGATTATGCGATTTACCACATATAACTTAATGCACAAAAATGTGCATCGCAGCTGTCGTTGGTGCCAGTGGTGAACTGCCTGCCAGTCTCATTACCATCCCTACTGTTAGCCTGTTTACTAGTGAGGAGCCGCAACAGCAGATTTGTTGATCACTGAAGCTCCTAAGGTAGAATTAAGAGACAGGGTTCAGCCTGGGCCTAGGACTTCGGACACTAGCTCAGAGCGCCAGACCTGGGCATCTCCCTGGAGTGAAAAATCATGTGTGATTTCACTGGGCACTTAAGAGTCTTTTTGTCTTGTTTTGTCTTGTTTTAATATATCTTTATTAATTTCAGAGAAGGGGAAACACATAGATATATCAATAATGAAAGTGAATCATCCATCAGCTGCCTCCTGCACACCTCCCACTGGGGATTGAGCCCACAACCCGGGCATGTGCCCTGACTGAGAATCAAACCGTGACCTTCTGGTTCATAGGTCGACACTCAACCACTGAGCCACACCAGCTGAGCAAGAGTCTTTCTTAAAGAGTGCTTACAGTCTCTGTAGTCAATTTACGTAAGAGAATTCTGTATGAATCATATTTCTGTCCATGTCTGTCACAAAGCTGAAGTTAAGCCATCATCTTGAAAGCATTTTGGAAAACTGGGAAATACTATTTAGATGTGGACAAAGTTCAAAGATAAGAAAAAATGTAAAGTTAAAATGTTAAGGGAAATGAAAATCCGTCTGAAACTTCAAACTCTCCCCAACACATATACAATGCAACGATTTGGTTAATGTAGTTAGTCTCCCTCTAAGTTTCTCATTTTGGTAAGCATGGAACCACACCACTTTGGTGTGCCACCAGCCTTTTTCTTGTAAAACATGTCTTGGACATCTTCCCAGTCAGCACAGAAGGATCAAACTTCTGGTTTTTACCAGTCCTCACACTGTGTGTGACTTCTGAGAGCAGCCACAGAGCCAGAGGGCTTGAGGAGCAGCACCCAAGTGGCGGGGGGAGCAGAGATGGGAAGGAGGAGGTCAGTGCCTCAGCTTGTTCAAGTGTTTGGGCTTTCCAACGGTTCTCATTAACCATCCAAGTGATGGCTCCTCCTTTGGACTAAATGGATTCCAGCAGGTAGCTCTTCGAGCACAGCCACAGTATGGGGCGTGGCTTAGAATATAGTTAGTGTTGCACGTGGAGAAAGTAGCCGATGGTGGCTTTTCTCCAGCTGAGCCAGGATTGCTGGATGTGCTCCAGGCATTTGAACCCGATATAAGAGGTAGGTCCACAGGCAAGTGCCTGCCAGGCAACAGTGCATGCTGTTCACCTCTTAAGTGGCCTGGGAGGACAGGACTTGGTTTGGCTTGTTCTGAAACCTTCAAGAGCATCTCTCACATTTTCCTTACCCACCTTCCTGTTCCAGGATTGATCCTGCCCAACGGAGACATTAACTGGAACTGCCCGTGCCTGGGGGGAATGGCTAGTGGCCCCTGTGGGGAACAATTCAAGTCAGCCTTTTCCTGCTTCCACTATAGCACGGAGGATCTCAAGGGATCAGACTGTGTAGACCAGTTCCAGGCCAGGCAGGAAAGCATGCAGAAGTACCCAGAACTCTATCCCCAAGATGAGGAAGAGGAGGAGGAGGAAGAGAAGAAGCCAGCAGAAGCTTTCGAAAAGGCAGCTCCCACTGAGGCCACTGCAACCAAAGAAGAGAAGGAGTCAAGCTAATGAAGGCCATGCTGCAGCACTGGCTCCAGGCCTTCCACTCAGAGTGATATGAACCTTTTGCAAATGCCTTTAAAT